GCACGAGTAGCCTCCTCAGACATGGCGTCGCGAGACAGGAGCTCAGCAGGTCCACCCAAACCGGTCTAAGCAAAAGATTGCTTCGGCAAGTCATGGGTTCCGCTGCATGTTCGCAAAGACAAGGCAAAGCTTCTCATCAAGCACTGAGTCAGAGAGCCCTCACAAACCAAACTCAAAGCTCATGCCCACGGTCCTCGCGAAAATCCTTCATCTTCGCCTCGTAAGCCGCAATGANNTCCGAGGATTTCTTGTTGGTCTGCCTCACAAATATCGTGCATTCAGACATGTATACATCGACAGCTGCTTCATTCAGGAGCAATTAAGTTTGGCTAAGACACCTCTTGTGCCGCAGGTGCATAGACTTCAGCAGCTCATGCACGTCGTCCAACGACTTGCCACCCGTGATGACAACATCGTGCGGCTTCTTCCCGATCACTCAGCTGCCCGAGGGATGTTCGCGATTAATCGCACATGACTGTTCATGCACCTCTGCTTGTTAGGACAAGGCACGAAGGTAGATCAACGAGGACATCCTGTCCTGCCAGATGCGTCCAGCTGCCTTGGCCTGCAATTGCAGTGTGTCTGCAAAGAAACATGAAGAAAACANNCCAAAATGTAACATCTTTGGCTCACCTTCTCCAGGCACGAGCTCTGCATCTCCTTGTTCTTCTGGCGACGGTGCATAGTCATGCTCTCCATGAGCAGCTGCTCCTTGGCAACTTGGATGGCTCGCAAATATTCGAAGCTTAGGCAACCAGCTTCGGGGGGGGGGGGGTTACAAGAATGCAGGAGGGAATCGCAACAAGCTTGCAAGCAAGACTCGGATTGGCCTCCTATTTCAACCAGATCGGAAGGTAAAACCCACGGCGTGACAAGGGCAAGAACGTAGGCGACCTGCCGAACCGTGAGGTCGTCGAGTCTGTTCTGGCCGGTGCTTCTGACCAATTCCTTCATGGCCACTTGAAGAACACTTTGCTTGTCTACTGGCTGTTCCTCCTCCTCTTCGGACAGCTCGCTGGTGTCCTCCGAAGGCTCGCCTCAGCTGTTGTTGTGATCGTATGTACCCGCAATGCAGGCGACGTGCCAAAAACAACAGTCAGTGCTTGCCAAATCTCCTTTCTTCTTCTTGGCGGGCTTCTTCTTCTTCTCGGCCTTGCCCCCGGAGTCACCTGAGCAAATCAGTTATGCAACACTGGATGCTAACATCAAATGCCCTCTCCATCTCGCCTCCACGAAGAGCCTTCTTCAACTGCT